CCCTGGACCTCAACCGCAAGGATCCGATCGCAGTGTGCACCCCTGGACCTCAACCGCAAGGACCCGATCGCAGTGTGCACCGCTGGACCTCAACCGCAAGGATCCGATCGCAGTGTGCACCGCTGGACCTCAACCAGATAGTTGGCCAGATAAAATGTCAGATAGAATGCCAGGTAGATTGCCAGATAGAATGCTGCAAGAAGATGTGCCAGATAGTATGCCAAATAGTGTGTCAGATAGATTGCTAGATACATTGCCAGATAGAATGCCCGAAAATATGCCAGATGGAATGCCAGATAGAATGCCAGAAAAAATGCCAGATAGAATGCCAGAAGATATGCCAGATAGAATGACAGATAGTATGGCAGGCAAAATGCCAGATAGTATGCCAGACAGATGCCAGATAGTTTGCCAGATAAAATGCCAGGTAGATTGCCAGATAGAATGCTGCAAGAAGATATGCCAGATAGTATGCCAAATAGTGTGTCAGATAGATTGCTGGATACATTGCCAGATAGAATGCCAGAAAATATGCCAGATAGAATGCGAGAAGATATGCCAGATAGAATGACAGATAGTATGCCAGACAAAGTGCCAGATAGTATGCCAGACAGTATGCCAGATAGTATGTCAGATAGATTGCGAGATAGAATGGCAGATTGAATGTCATGGTGGGAGTCACTCGAAGTAAAGTAATTTTATAGTCGTAGTCGTAGTCGTAGTAGTAGTAGTAGCAGCAGTAGTAGTAGTAGCAGTAGTAGTAGTAGTGGTAGTAGGAGTAGCAGTACCAGTACCAGTACCAGTACCAGTACCAGTACCAGTAGCAGTAGCAGCAGCAGCAGCAGCAGCAGCAGCCGTCGTCGTCGTCGTCGTCGTCGTCGTCGTCGTCGTCGTCACAGTAGCAACTGAGAGTAACTCTGAAAACAATTTTTCTACAACTAGGGCTCTGTGTTTTGCATGCGTTCACCCTGAGGGCACTTACAGCACGGCGGAAAAGGAGCAGATGATTGATGAAGTCATGGCGGAACTTGAGGGCTGACAGCCAGGGCTGACAGCTTCGGCGTCTCGACTCGACATCTCTCCATGCCATGAGCACCCCGAGGGTTTTCGCGTGCGAACTCCCTCCGGAGATGAGATCATTCATGAGGGTTTTCGCTGACTCTGTTTGAGTGACAGCCGGCGTCCGTGCTCATCACTTATGCGTGAATTCAAGAAGATGGCCTTTGAGCAGCTATGCTGACATTCCTGATTGTGATGGCAGATCATTTGTACAGTGTAGTTCCCTTTCATCAGTTTGATGCCTTGATTCTAGCTGCCTGCCATCATCGTGAAATGTCTCAATATGAGCTGGGTGACTGAAGTCGAGTGAGTAACCAACAGCCCAACCGCTGCTGCTTTATCAATCGTTTCTGGTTGTTGTTGTCGTCGTGGTCGTCGTCGAACTTGGGTAAAGAATGCAACAAATTGTTTTCCTTGAATATGTTGAAGCTGTTGCGCCTGGTGTTAATGAAATTAAACGACATGTTGAAACTGTTTTCTTTTCAGTTTTCCTTTTGATTGGTTGGGTGATGCAGCCCCATGGCTCAGAAGGTGAGAATCAGAGGGAGCCGGATGAAAAGTGCGGAAGGCGGCCCCACTAAGTTGTAGTTCCAGTCGCCTGTTTTTTCATGCCCTTCCAAGACGCAGAGCTGGAGAGCATGTGATATCCATTTCACTTGTTTACCGCGTGCCGCGGTTTGGTCAGGGGGATCCACCCGAGGATGCCGGCGCACCTCAATTCCAGCCTGCATTTCTTGAAACTCTAGCTTTGCCGTGAGCTCTACCGTTGTTCTTTCCACGGCGTTCTTGAGCGGCATGAGCAGCCCGCGTCACTAACATGGGTGGTGAACTTGTGTCAACAAATGACGCGTAGTTGGTGTTTGTGGGTTTTGGTTTGGTTTTGGGTGTTGCGGTGTGTATTGGCCGTATTGGCCGGCCTTGGCGATGAGCTGGATTGGTTCAGGCAAGCGATTGGAAGGCGAGACCGGAGCTTGAGTACAGAGCCCCTTTGTGACAGATATCGCACACACACAGGCATGACCAGACAAACTGACACTACTTCGACGTAGACTGGACTCTAGACTCCATTCCCTTCAATCCAAGCACAGGCAAGCATCAAACACATGTTGCACACGTGGGGAGGAACCGAAACCATAGCGCCGTGCCACCGTGGCTCTCCAAAGCCGTGATGCCCAAAGATGGCGATTTCTTGCAACAGTTTCACCACTTGGCCAGTGTGGTGTCCTCAGCTTCGTTCCATTGGGCCCTTCGCCTCTTCGGAGGACGGTCGTCCTCCGCTGAGGCGGACGACGAGCTGCGATGCCGCGCGGCGCTGCTTGGCGAAGCGACGGGACCGCGAAGGGACCGCGATGGGGCCGAAGGCGACGCCGTCGGTTGGCGTGGAGGTGGGTGGATTTTTGGAGGGTGGTGTGGGTGGTGGTGTGTGTGTGTGGTGTGTGTGGTGTGTGGGTGCTTAAGGCGGCAAATCACCATTACCCTGCAAAGTGGCAAATTGGAAGCGCAGGAGCTCCCGCAGGGGACTCAGGATGAACGGTCGCGGGAGTGAGAGAAGTGGATCGCTGGCACGGGAAGCGTTCGATACAGCGGGACTGAAACGGAGCAAGATTGGACGTGCGCAGCCGCTGTAGTAGTGATTCCCTTTGCTCCGTTCGTAGCGATGCCCGAAATGCTGAACCTACACTTCCAGCATATTGCTGTATTTGATCGCCTGAGCTCACCACAGGTACTCGGTCACGCGCTTGGTGCGTGGAGTTGGGGGGCCTGCCGGTCGTGGATCGAGATGCGAGCCGCTCAGGGATTATGTCAGGTTATGGCTATAGCATGGTTATAGATGGTTCTTATGTCAGGTGATACATGGTTTGTCACTTCTATGTGTATATCAGATTATATGATGTGTTTACCATCTATAGAGGCCTTTTGCTTTTGAGCAGGTGAGTCGGGCGGGCGGTGAGTCGGGGTGTTGCACCAGCTGTGTCGAGCAAGCGGGAGACCGCTCTGATGCAGGTTCTGGTCGGCGCAGAAACACCATCACCAGTGTGGTAAGCACCATTCGCGGTGGATGATGGACATGTCGAAAGACACTGACAGATCGGTTCAAAATCAGACTGGTGTCTCCTTTCGTGTCTCCTTGAAGGATTTGCCTGAGCCAGTCATCCGCATGGCATTGTGGCTTTGCAGCGAACGTACAACACACCATCCACGGTTTCTGAGCCGAACAACTCACGGTTTCACGGTCTCAGCTCGATGAGTGCATCAGTATCATCCCAAGAGCACCAACAAACAGAAACATGCTGATTAATCAACAGTAAAATGCAACATCCCTTTGGGCTTCACCGACCATCCACACTCAAGACATCTCAAGACATTGCACTTGTTTGGTGTCTTCTATCCTTTCGGTGCCCATCCGGCCTCCGCCAGTTTGATGCAGGAGGGCAAAATCCCGTGATTTGGTGGCACAAACCGGTCTCAGGTTCAGGCAGTCGGGCAGATCAGCTCCACAAAGGTCTCCAGCCCCAGAAGATTAGACTATTATGAATGTTTAGAATGTGTAGGTTACAAGTGGCATGCCGCCCAACCAATGTATCTCCTTCTCTACAGTCTTTGTTTTTTGGAGATTCTTGGGGTCTCACCTTGCTCCTCTCTAAGTTGGTATCGTAGCAAGTGGGCAAGTGGGTCGCAGCACGTTTGTGCCTAGCCGAGCTTGACCTATTCAGATGCAGGCTGCTGGAGTCCAGGCTTTGGATAGATACCATAACTTCACAGTGACAAGAGTTGATTCCTGGAAGAGAGCTGGTGTGCTGAGGCGCCATCATGAGTGATGAACCCCCACAGGTGCCTGATGTGGACGAGTTGAAGGCTGGTGCGTTCATGCGCTCCTGAGTGCATAATCTAGCAGAGGGAGCAGGAGTAGGAGAGTGTGGAGAGTGGGTGAGAGTAGTGGTGGGAGCAGTGTCTTGGTAGGAGAAGTCAAGAAGTAGAAGTGGTAGTGGTGGTACAAGTAGTCGATGTGGCGGTGGTGGTAGCAGTCGCAGCAGCAGCAGTAGCAGCAGGAGTAGCACCATTGCTGCTACTACTGCTGCTGCTGCTGCTACTGCTGCTGCTGCTGCTACTGCTACTGCTACTGCTACTCCTGCTGCTACTCCTGCTGGTAGTGGTCCAGTGGTAGTGGCAGTGGCAGGTTGCAGAAGCTTCGTCGGGTTGGAAGGTGCCACTAGGACGAGCAGCAGCTGCCCCAGCATCGTCGCCGTCGCCCTCGGCAGGCCGAGCTGGCCCGACGTGTCCAAGTACCGCAGAGCTCGCTGACCTTTTTGGAGCCCTTGCCACCCGAGCTGTTGCGAAACATTTGAGCCATGGCTGCCATGGGCAATTCAGTGCTCCCAATGTCGCAGAAGAGAGTGCGAAAAACCATCCTGACCCGAAATCCTGCACAACGTGGACTGAGCAGTGAGACCATTGGGTGTTAGATGATGAACACCACTCAGCAAAAACATGTGGAGATCCCTTGGGGCATGCAAAGCGGCCGAGGTGAGACCTTCGACAATTCCGGCACCAAGGCTGGCTGTGTGGGGAAGAACAGGAGGGAAACTGGCCAGAAGTGCCAGCAGTCAGAACACGTAAACGTCAATTGTGTGAAATTGAGATGTCGCCATCCACAGCAAGTTGGATGCAGATTTTGAGTCCAACGCGCAAACTCAAGCGGCTGTTCACACCAGAAATGCTGTAATTCCACATTCGTTGACTTCGTTGTTATTCTTGTTGTGTGGACACTTTTGCACTCGCAAACCATCCAGGCAGGCAAACATTCATGCTTGAGTTCACTCTGAATTTTTAGGCGCACATATATATATATATATATATACTGGATGATCACTGATAACCTGAGGTTACAGGAGGACTATATACTGGGTTATTTTGATGTGCAGCATGTTGAAGATTGTTCTCTATTGAACTCACTTTGCCTCGAGGATGGCAACATGTTGGAGAGGCTGGAAGCCTATGCGAGGCCCGGCATTGCCAACTGGTAGTCTCACAGTCATACAGGGTGAACAGGGTGGTACTATGTATTGAAAGTCAGGGAAGTTCCAAGTACCACCTGGTAAATATCGATCCAAGCAACGACGATCAACGTCCAGTGAAAGGGGTGCCCTCGGTTCAGGTCCGTCGCCCGGCGGAACCACCTCACACTGGAGCCGCCGAGCCTGCCCTCCAAGGCCTTCCGGGGGGTGTAATTATATATATTTATATAGATATTGTATTTTATGGTGTATGCATGTCCACACATAATACAATTGCATGCAAGTTAGCTGGATTGTAGGTGGGTTTTGGCCACGGGACATTTGATTTGAGTTCAGAGTACGATTTTAGTTCACATGCCAAGGAAGAAGCCAGTTCATGTGATGAGTTTCATGCAGCACCCCCATAGATCGCAGTGCATGGTAGGAGCATCGATCGCAGTCAGCGATTGAGCGGTGACTTGGCATCGCAGAACCTTGCGGCGTGACATGTCGTCATCTTTCGTTCATCACTGACGATCGTTGAAGCGGACATGTGGACGGCCTTGGGAACTGAGCAGAATCTGACTGAAGCCACTCACGATTGAATTCAATGATGTGAAGTGGCTAGCAGCTATTTGCCAGAAACCCCTGACATTCGGAGGGGTTCGTTCTCAGGAGGGTCCAATCCTTCATGGCAGACCTGGCCGCTGGGCTCCAAAAAGCAGTCGATGCGAAGTGAAGTGGAGGCGATTCCCCAAAAAGTGACCCAAGGACTCCAAACAATTCTAAGGACATGGGTGATGACGCTTTGGAACTTCTTCAATGCTTGAACCCGACGCTGCAAGCGGAAGTGATTGAGCAATTTGATATTCAAGGCAGCTTGGTTGATCAAAGGAAGTTTAGTGTGCAAAACTTCCGTGTTACGGACATTCAACAGCTGTTCAACCACCACTCATCATACACCACTCATCATACACCACTCATCATACACCA